GCCTCCCCGCACCCTACTTGTGTGCGCGCTCCCTGGGAGCGCGCAGCACCGTGATCCAGTGCCCGCTGTGTCCTCCGGACACAGTGAAACACCGATCGTCGGATGGGACCTCTGTACGAGGTCTTGATCATGTGATCACTGATTGGCCAATCAGTGATCACATGCAAAGTAGTAAGCAAGATGTCACTGGTGACATCATTGCTTACTACGTGTGAAATCTGTGAATGATCACAGAGGTCACATGGTACAAGGCTATTCACAACAGCCTTGTACCATGTGACAAGCTGTGACCAATCACAGCTCACTCAGTACTTCTCAATGACTGCAAGAAAGCAGACAGAAAGAGAAATGATTGCTTTTACATCCTATATGGGTGTAAAAGCAATCAGTGTAAAAAAAAAAAAAAAATCTTCATCACCCCCCACAAGTAGTACAGTGTCACCATGGTGACACTGTACTGCTAGGGTGACAGTATGTAACAAAAAAAAATAATAATATAAAAAAATAAATAAATGTAAAAAAAAAATGTTTAAACATTATAATTTTTGGTTATAAACTAATTTGGATTTTTTTTTTTTTTTTTACTAAAAAGATAACGAAATAAATTTTGGCCAAGATTTATGATGAAATATTATTTATTTGCAAAATTTTATAAAAAAAACACTTTTTTCAAAATTTTTGGACATTTTCATTTACATAGCAAAAAAAAAAAATCCCAGCGGTGGAATAAATACCACCAAAATAAAGCTTTATCTGTCTCAAAAAAATGGTAAAAAATGTATTTGGGTACAGTGTTGCATGACCGCGCAATTGTCATTCAAAGTGTGATAGCGCTGAAAGCTGAAAATTGCCCTGGTCAGGAAGGGGGTAAAAGTGTCCGGACTGGAAGTGGTTAATAACTAATAAGTCAACCATTAAAGCATAACACTCAGTGCCCCATCATCGATTTTAATAGGACGAATAGTGCTCCATTGTTGATATCAGTGAGAAGAATAGTGTCCCATTGTTGATATTAGTGAGAAGAATAGTGCTCTATTGTTGATATCAGTGAGAAGAATAGTGCTCTATTGTTGATATCAGTGAGAAGAATAGTGTCCCATTGTTGATATCAGTGAGAAGAATAGTGTCCCATTGTTGATATCAGTGAGAAGAGTAGTGTCCCATTGTTGATATCAGTGAGAAGAATAGTGTCCCATTGTTGATATCAGTGAGAAGAATAGTGTCCCATTGTTGATATCAGTGAGAAGAATAGTGTCCCATTGTTGATATCAGTGAGAAGAATAGTGTCCCATTGTTGATATCAGTGAGAAGTATAATGTCCCTATTGAAGGTGTCAATAGAAGGAATGGTGCTCCATCATTGGTGCTGGAATAGTTCCCCCAGGGCCAGATGAAAGCAAGCAAAGGGCCACATCTGGCCCCTATGCCGTAGTTTGGAGACCACTGATCTAGACGATTAGGCCCCATGTACACGGGACACTTCTGAACGATGGAAACTGACTGCTGGAAAACGTAGGTTAAAAAACGTCTGTTTAGCATATATGCGTTTATGCGCGTTTGCGTTTAGAAGCATTTTTTAAAGATAAGCACAAGAGAACCTTCCAAACGCCCAGAATGCACTGAAAAGTGGTAAATTATTAACTATTTCAGACTGTTTCAGGGAAATACAGAGAGTAGACCCAGACACAGTAGTATGTGTTGACATTAGCTAGGTGTGAGTTGCTCATTAACATTTTTTTTGTTTCCAAGGGTGAAAAGGTGTCTGGTGGAGGAAGTCATTAAGGCCACCTGGCAGGGGGTCTTCATGAGGAATTTGAGGTGTAAATGGTCATTAACATATCTTTTGTTTCCAAGGGTGGGAAGGTGTCTGGTGGAGGGAGTCATTAAGGCCACCTGGCAGGGGGTCTTCATGAGGAATTTGAGGTGTGAATGGTCATTAACATATCTTTTGTATCCAACCATGGGAGAGGTCTGAGGTGTGAATTGGTCATTACAATGTGTGATAAGCTTGATAGGAACATCCTGTGTTTAGTGTTTTGTCTATTTGAGTACTGGGAAAACGCTTTGCGTGCATTTTTCATGATGAAAAAAGGCTCTGGACAGCATTGGGAACTGGAAGAGTTAAAAAAAAACTTTCAGAAGCTTATAAACGCGATTTGCAACGTTTTAGCCGCATTTACAAGCGTTTTGCATTTGAAACGCTGATAAAATCGACTGCTGAACCCAAGTTTGGTGCGTTCAAAAAAAACGACTGTAAACTCAACTGCCTGTAAATGGCGGCGTGTACATGGACACATAGGAAAAACATTAGGGAGAGTTCAGGGGCTGCTGAAAAAAACGCTGAACAGCTCCTAAATGTGAGTTTATCAGCTGCAGTGTACATGAGCCCTTAAGTATAAAGAAGAGATTTGGATGACTCTGCACACTATCCTGAAATGAGGAGTAATCCTCTTATTTTTGGGATATGTGTAGAATGAGATGTGAATACCTTCTGTTGTAAGAAAGCTTCATTTGGAGGGCTCTTTGTTTGCTATGGTTCCTTCTCACCATATAAACCATATAAAACATTCTTTATCTTCCATAAAATCCATCTTCTCACCATATAAACATTGTTTATCTTCATATTGTTGATAATATTTCTGGCTGTGGAGCCATTCATTGTGCATTGCTTACCTTTAGACGATGTCCGCTTTCGTTCAGTGTCACAATCTAGAAGGAATACAGGTAGGTCCTGTTCTTTTTAGAGATCTACATATTTCTAGGTGGAAACCTGCACAGAAGAATAACCCTGCCATTTCTGGCAGGCATGCTTCATTATTACAAGTCGATAAACCAGTTCCTTTTTTTTTTTTTTTTTTCTTTGAAATATCAAATTGCTTTCCTGAAGTTATTTTTACAGTCACCGGGAAAACACGTGTCACTTTACAGATTGTTAAAGATAGACGTTGAGCAGTGACTGTATAGGCCGACATACCTAGTAGATTACAAAAGATCTTTAGGTAACAGTCTTGTCCAGGGGCGGACTGACAACTCATGGGCCCCCGGGCAATAGGGGATCATGGGGCCCCTGTGTTCTTGCCCAAACTCAAAAAAGCCTATGAAAAAGGTACCAGGGGCATCTCATGGGGTCCCCTACTGACCCCGGACCCTCGGGCAGTGCCTGAGTTTACAAATGGTCAGTCCGCCCCTGGACTTGTCGGTGAACGCTGAAATGACAGCACGTCCATGCTCGCTACTGACGTCATGTCACACAACTCCACCGACAGTTCTTATTACAGGTAGAAAACCTGCCAGCTTAGAAACTGTACTTTGTACTTAAAAAATACCAAAAATCCCATAAAAATTATTGAAAGGAAAACATGCCAGTTTATAATCTATCAGAACAGGGGTGTCCAATCCGCGGCCCAAGATGGCTATGAATGCGGCCCAACGCGAAATTATAAACCTACTTAAAAATGTTGATTTTTTTTTTTTTTAATTTTTTGTAAAAATGCATGGAGTAAAATTTGGAAGTGTTTCTTTACTTGTCTTTTAAAAGTTTTATCTTTCCAAAGAAAATCTACCACTCTTCACAATCCCACCTTATTCATGTCATCAGTTTTCAGTAGCTGTCTCTAGCGGCTCTCTCCTCTCCCCATGCAATTACAGGACAGAAAGGCAGAAGCAGGAAGCCAATGGCTCAATCAAAACCTGTTAGCAGAGAGCAGGGGGCGTGGCCAAGCTGCACAGTGTGTATCTATGGATGCACACAGCCCAGCTTGGGAGCGAGCCTGAATGTGCACCTCCCTAGGAAGTGGCTTCCTATGGTGGCACACAGAGAAGAGGAGGAGCCAAGAGCACTAGCAGTAGACCCCAGATGAGGAGGTTCAGAACCGCTCTGTGCAATATCATTGCACAGACATGACATGTTTGTTATCTAAAAAAATAAGCTTTACAACCTCTTTTAACTAAAAACAGCAATCATATTCATTGAAATAAATGTACATTTATGTGTGTGTGTTCTGTTTGGATAGTGAAGTGACACCATTATTTCCACAAAGAGGTAGAAATGGCCTCAAACTTTCAGATAGTGTAAAAAGATATTCCTTGAACCTGATCACTGGGCATCAGCAGCTCTCCAAATAAAAATGGGGGGGGGGGGGAGCGCTAGACAAGCTGGGGTCAGCCAAATTGAGAAAGCCACGTCTAGTTGAACCAAAAACAAATGTCTTAAAAGTCCAAAGCTTTTTAAAAAAAATGCAATTAGTGATGGCAAAAAACAAAGGGAAGCCAATGCATTTCAGGGGCCAGAAACATCCCCCTTCATCAAGGCCCCCTATGTGATAGCTTTGGGCAGTGACAGGTACTCTTTATGACGACATCAGGGGTCTATTCGACCTCCAGTGTCTCCCCTGCCCTCCAAAGTAGCTAATTAAGCACATATAGTGCTTGATAAGCTGCTTTCCTGGCTGTAACAGAGAATGACACCCCTGAAACTAGAAGTGATTAAATCACCATTGCTTCCAGCTTCATGTGTCATGGTGACAGGACATTTTTATATCTACAGTGGTCAGTCAGTGATTTAACCGCTTCCATGCTGCCTTATAGCAGAAATACTGTTACAGGGCGACACGGGTGCACAAAATCACACACACACACACACACACACATATATATATATATATATATATATATATATATATATATATATATATATATATATACACACACACATGATTTTGCAGTTCCGGGTTGGCATCGGCTGTCAATCACCAGGTCCCGGCCGATGCTTCCCCGCCGGCGATTGGCAAGTATTATCAATGGGGGAGAGACCTGTGTATAAACAACACAGATCTCTCCCCTGTCAGCTCCTGCACACTGCTTTGTATGGCTCTGCATAGCACAGCAATACAAAGCAGTGTGCCTACAGTATAAAGCACACACAGCCCACAGTAACACAGCACACAGTGAGCCCTGGTTCACATATATGAGGCCGCGCAGGCCGTGTTTTGGACGGGCACGAGAGTCCATTCATTTGAATGGACTCCCGTGCCCCGTGACATGCAGAGAAGAAGTTCTTGCACTTCTTCTGAAAATGCAGCCCGCACGAGAACCTCGGTTTCCAAGTACGGTTGCATTTTCAAGTACGGGCGGCGTGCCATTAGAAATAATGGCACCCGCCCGTGGGTCCGCATTTCTCTATGCGGGTGGTGCAGGATTTTTGTGCGGATCCACAGCAGCACCACCCGCACAGATGTGACCCTAGCCTTAACCCTTTGATCACCCCACTTGTTAACCCCTTCCTGCCCAGTGTCATTAATACAGTGTCAGTGCTTTTTATTAGCACTGATCACTGTGTTTGGTGTCACTGGGAATGTCAATGACACCAAGTCAGTTCCCCCCAGTGTCACAATGCCTGCCGCAGGCCCACTCTAACTCGTTGAGTGCCGCCATTACTAGTTAAAGAAAAAAAAATGAATTCCAGTATATATACCGCCATTTGTAAACGCTATAACTTTGACGTAAACCAATTAATTTATACGTATTGGGATTTTAAAAAAAATAAATAAAAAAAGCGCACAGGTGATCAAATACCACCAAAAGAAAGCTCTATTTGTGGGGGGGGAGGTGGGAAGATGTAAATTTCATTTAGGTGCAGCGTTGTTTGACCGCACAATTGTCAGTTAAAGTAACGCAGCGCTGTATTGCAAAAAAAGGCCTGGTCAGGAAGGGGTAGAGAGAAAACAGGTGGCGCACACACCTAGTGCATTATCCAAGGTTTATTGTAGGAATTACATAAAAACATACTCACAGACGAAGCATGTATCTAAAAAGCATAGAAAAATGACAATGGCCACAACGGCGGGCAAGGTGTTCTCACAGTCAGTGCGGTCAAATGGCTGATGCGTTTCGGGGACGAATCCCTTTCCTCAGAGCTGATGACCAACCTCTGATGCTGATGCACGATGAATGGAAAGTAAAGTAAGAGCCTCGCTGTTGATGCCCAAGGGCATTGTCATTTTTTCTATGCTTTTTAGATACATGCTTCGTCTGTGAGTATTTTTTTATGATCTAATTCGTACAATAAACCTTGGATAATGCACTAGGTGTGTGCGCCACCTGTTTTCTCTCTATCCAGTGGCTGATTTCCCCGTCTGAGGAGGGCTGCACCCCTGGAACATTTGCTTTTGGTTGTCGCTGTCCTGGTACCCTTGGCTTCCCTTTTGGCTGTGCATATCCTGAGGCGCTGGAGAGTACATACGCTATCATGGTCAGGAAGGGGGGTAAATCCTTAGGAGGGCAAGTAGTTAATGAGTGTGATCCCACAATACTGCAATTCTGAGCAATTAATCACAAGTATACGCTACCAGTGTAGTCAGTACAACAGGCAATTCATTGGCCCATCAGTTAACAATCACTTTCTACTCTTCTGCTACTACTCAGAAGTGCTTTTTAGTGGCATGACTGAATAGCTACAAATTATCCACATAGACTAGGCCTGGAATACTTGTTATTGAAATGACAGCACACAAAAATGTTGTAGCGAACGTATTTATTACTCTAATGTAAAAACACAATAAATTCAAGTTTCGGTTCATCTTTTCAGTCTAACTTGTAAACAAATTATGTGTGGAAACAAAAGCATTCTGGAACAAGTCTGTCCAACCCTGTTGTTCAAGGACCACACAAGGACATGAAACTGGTGCATACACAATCATTTTACTTAGTGAACTAATCCTTTTCCTTTAAACTATGTTACTATGTAGCTAAACAATATAAATGCAACCAAGAAAGGTACAAAATACAAACAACACACTTGCCTTTTTTATTATTTAATACATTTTGGGAAATTGACATTAAAGGGATATTGCGCTTTCTCAGCGCATTGCCAAGCAACAGGTTCACCTTGGAGGTGCTTTACCTTCCCTTTGCATCCTGTCTGCTCACGTAGGGAAGCAAAGGAAGCAAAGGAGGAATGCCTTTTACTTCTGAGTATGATGGAGCTTTGTCCCACATGACAGCATTGGTAAATGGCATTGGCCACTCCAGCGCTGTCACTTGAAGCAGGGAGAGAGACCTCCCTGCTGTGTACACTACAACTAGGATTGGCTTTAAGCCTAAACAGGACTTTCTCTTTGCCCGTGCCGAAGAACAGACTAGTGGGAGACCAAAGAGAAGTTAAGAAGGTAGTACCAGTACCAGGGGCGGACTGACAACTCATGGGGCCCCCGGGCAGTAGGGGATCATGGGGCCCCTGTGTCTTTGCCCACACTCAAAGGACACCCAAAAAAGCCTATAAAAGGTACCAGGGGACTTTCATGGGGCACCCTACTGACCCCAGGCTTTCGGGCAGTGCCCGAGTGCTCGAATGGTCAGTCCGCCCCTGACCGGTGCACTTCAACTCAAATTGAAACAACCTTGTAAAAGGAGCTCACTAGTACATTTAGGGCTCGTTCACACTTGGCTGTTTTACCAACGCTTGCCAAACGCCCCTATAGCACTTGGCAAGCGTTGGTCTGGCGTTTGCGGAGCGTTGTTTTTAACACTCGGCAAACGCCGCATGCGCGGTTTAGCGGCGGTTGCTAGGCGTTTGCCGAGCGTTAATAACGCCCCACAAATGCCTATAATGCAGTTTGAGTGGTGTTACCGCTCCGCAACCGCACCGCAAACGCCGGCCGGGCGTTTGCGGAGCAGCACCATAGACGAGAATAGGAGGCTTCAAAGCCAGTGACCAGAGGCGTCCGTTTTGCCGCGACGCAACGCGATGCGAACGCTCCCGTTAGAACAGCACCATGTGCTGTAATGTGCAGAATTGGCAGAGGCGTTTGGGAAGCGGTAAAAACGCTTCCCAAACGCCTCTCTGCCTAGTGTGAACGTAGCCTAAGTTTTCTGCCAGGCTGGAAACTTCACTCTCTTTGGGCTTATTTACACTGGTGACGTCCTCTGAAGACTGATCTGCAGTGAATCACTTTTCAGAGGTTGTTAGGTAGTGATAAGGCAATAGGCTGCCTTCTCGCCATCTGTTTTAACCTCTAAAAATGCACACCAACCTTCAGTGAAATGAATCGCATTTAGCAGGAGGTACTGTCCACTGAATGCAACAGCGAAGGATACTTTTAACCTTGTTGCAATGCAAATGTGTCTCAACCACATGTTTTTACTTAGGTGTAAACCTAGCCTTCCAGAGCTATAGCCACCACTGGAATCTGTGTCCCATGTCTGGTACTATAGTTCCTGCCACAACAGCTACATCACTACAGGACACAGTACTAGCATAGGAGTTTGCGGGAGGAACCACAGAGCACAGCAGGGCAGCAAACATGTGACACACCGGAAAGTGTCAGATTCCAGAAGTGATCTCGGCTCTGCAAAAGAACAAATATTTCATGTACTGCACACCTGAAAGGTTAGCATGAGTAATCTTTTACAGGGTGGATCTGTTTGACCTTTCGTTGCTTTATTTAAGCCCTTCTATCACTACCTCCACTCCATTCTATAGGCATACTACCACAACAGCACAGGGAGGATGGACTGTGAGAGAGCTGTCACAATAATGCTGAAGGGCAAAAAAAAAAAAAAACCCAATATAAACACAGAAAACTGAAAGACGAAAGAGGGACTACAAACCACGAAACAAGAACAATAACTTTGGCTTTTCTTCCTGCAGATAAACCAAGAACAAAGTTCACATAATACAGGAAAAAAAAAACAGAAGACTAGGAAACCAAGAGGATGTCATAAATTAAAACACACTTACCTCCATGCTCTGATTACAGAGATCTGTGCCGACTCATTGAACTCCTATGCTCTCTGCAGTGTTGTCCCAGATACCTGATACTGATATCTAAGGCTGGCCATACATTATACAATTATCTGCAGATTTTTGGTTTAGATTTACCAAAAACCATATAATAGGAGGACAAACCTAAACAACACTTTCAGTTGTATCCAATTAGGCAGGCCCTTGCACTACATAGTTGAAGGTAAATCTAAAGGAAATTGGGCAGAAAATCTGCAGATAATTGTATAATGTATGGCCAGCCTAAGGCTGGCCATACACTATACAATTTTCTTACAAGTTTCTGTTCAATTTCCTTTCGATTTACCTTCAACTATGTAGTGCAAAGACCTGCCTAATTGGATACAATTGAAAGTGTTGTTTAGGTTTGACCTCATATTATATGGTTTTTGGTAAATCTAAAGAAAATTGTATAATGTATGGCCAGCCATAGGCACTGAGCGCTCATTCTGGGCCTAATTTGAAAAGAAATTGACGGTGAATTGGTAGCCATGTACTTTGAAGGTGCAGATTTCCAGATCAGACGCATGGTGGGTAAAGGTAGTTAAACTCACACCTTCCAATTTTTAATCTTTGAACTTAAACTTGTAATTTAACCCCTTGGCGCAGGCGCCTCCCGGCCCTTTAAGGGTTCGGGAAGCCAGGGGGCGGGCGGGGTTTTAGGATCACGTGACGGCCGTGATTCGCTGTCACGGCGTTCACATGATCGGGAAAGGTCCCGATCGCAAGAGGAGATCGGGACCTTTCCGTGAGTACCGTACGTGTGTGCTGGGAGCACGTAGGGTGCGCGCTCTCGGGACGTTTTTTTTATAGAATGCAAATGTGTGGCCGCTAATGCAAATGCAAATGTGTGGCGTCTAGGCCCAGACCCCGGGGAGGCCGCACATTTGTGTTCAGCTGGCGGCAAGACGTTAATAAAAATTAAGAGGGAAATCCTAACATTTTTATGACAACTGAGGTGGATAAACTGAGGTGAAGAACATTGAAAGGGTAAAGTGGTTTAAATGGGGTCTTCTGGTTCACTGAACTTCCTTTTCTTTGGCCCGACAGAACCGTCCTGGCTACTGGAGACATCGAAAGGTTGGCTCTGTTAAAGAGAAAGGTAGAAGTTGTAAGCAGTGTAAGACATGTAGAACATGTGACATGACACAGCTGTGTTTGATGGGTAAATATTTCCTATGTTTGTGAAACACCCAAATACTTTAAAATGATCACTGCTGACTGAACTTGATGTCCTAATGTATTCCTTTAACAGTGTTAG